AAGAGAGATATTAGATCATTCCCATTAGCAACCTGTCATATGATTGTCAGTCACTGCATGTAGAATGCTATTACTGAGCGCCTTTTGTTTATATATTTCTTATCTTTGTAGACTTTACTAATATAGAGTTGACTAAGCTTTTTTCATTCCTTAAACTCATTCCACACTTTTTTTATGATACTATATAAAGTAAATCATTTTTGTTAGGCTCAATGAAAACATTTAAATCTAAATGAGATTGTGAGTATAAATGACAACCTAATCCCTGTAGCATTTTCCAAGTGGATTTACCTAAAATCTTCCAGTGAAATAGCAGTTATTTATTGTCACATTGTTTTCAGAAACTACTGAAGTTGTATTGAATAAATATCGTCAAGATCATTTATTTTCAGAAGTAATCATGACGTGACTATACCTAATTCAGTGTACTTTTCAATGACTATATATGCACTATTTTTGTACTAAATCCAACCTTGTATCTATTAGTTATTCTGCCAATCAATAAAGTAACCATATGGTCACGTGAACGTATATTGTATTTACGTAGGAGATAACTATTTACCAGTGCCTTTAATAAATCGACATTATTCACTAAATGATAGAACAGTTTATAGCCTATTGAATAAAGAAAGAGAATAAGTCTGACTTCAAGATATTTTACTCCGAATAAATAAAATAAGGTATGAAATTGTGAATCATACTGCTTTACATTAACTGAAGACTGAATAGACATTATACTGTTAAATCATTCTTAGTTAGTCATTTGTATTTTCCTGAGTCATACCCGATGCTTATTTGATGACAGTATATGTGGTGTTACTGTCTACGCTATATATGACTACTTGTGTACTTAGAAATAACGAAATTGAGTTGAAGATATACCACTAAGATGGATGATATATTGTGGATTGAGGTATGGGGAGTCACGTGTACTTCTCCTTGACTGGTTTCAATGATTCTTTGTACCTATCTTGTGACAACCATAATGGAGTTAACTTACACAAAATAACATTCTAGAGTGCATAATTACACTAAGCTTAATTGGAGCTAGTGAGCAACAAACGCATTGAGACCAGACTCGTTCCGTCTCTGGTAGAGGATGCTATCACACTAACCGGGAGATCATGTAGAACCAATATATAGATTTATTATTATTATTGTATCCTTTAATTCCTACAGGAACATAGGGCTTCAGCCGTGCGTCTCCATTGCGTTCGGTTCTCTGCTAGAGTCTTCACTTGGCTCCAAGTCTGCCCACACGTTTTCATCTCCTCTTCACATGACCTCCTCCAAGTCACCCTTGCACCGACGACCAACTCGCCGCTTCCATTTCGGGTTCCACTCAAGGGCTTGTCTAGTGATGTCACTTGATGGACCCCTCAGAGTATGGCCAATCCATCTCCATTTCTTCCTGCCTATTTGTTTCACAATCGGTTCCTGCTGTGTTGGTTCGCTCCCAGAGATCCCTCCCTGTTGCTGATCT